AGGTATAGCTTTGCTATCATAAATAGCGGAAATAAAAATAACACGGGAAAATAACCCGAAATAATAACACTGAAAAGCACAGAGCACATATAACACATAACATACAATTGTTCCTATATATTGAACTCACCTTGAAATAATCGGGGGTTAAAATAGTAATTTGTGCAGCACTTCGTTCCTATAAATAGCTTTCTTCTATAAAAATCAGGAGATTTATTGAAAACCGGGCTCTGCGAAGGTTGAGCTTCAAACCGAAAAGATAAATTTCTCGGGGTCTTCGGGCACTTCGGGGCGTGTTTCGGGTGTTAAAAATAATACTGGGGCTTCGGGGGAAGTGAAAGTAGTTAAAATATGAGTTTAAGGGTGAAAACTGACAATTTTCCAACATTTACCCGGGAGGTCTCGCACCCTTATATAGGTGCGAGCCTCGGATCCAAAGCAAGAGGAAAGGAGGGCAGGTGGCGCGAGGCTGCGAGGCTCGGTACACGCGGCAGAAGGGGCGAGGTTCGGACGACAGGTGGCTCGGTTCGGACGGAGGCACGCGTCCGAGTTCAGAGGCTACAACGCGACGCCACACATCGGAAGGGGAGAGGGCCGCGGCTTCGGTCGAATCGGATAGCGACGCGTGTCAGATTCTCGGCTGCACAGCTCATCGACGTCGTACACGCGGCATGCTCGGAGCGAGGTGATGTGGTCGATCTTATCCATGCGAAAATTCTCGGAATTTGTTCCAAAATCTTCTAAAATCCATAACTTTCGCATACAAGTTTCGTTTTTGACGTTCTTTATATGCACGCGTAGGTAAATTATGCTCTACAACTTTCGTTTAGACTCCGTCGGCTAATTTTGACTTTATTTTTAACAGACCTGGACAGGAAAATCCGTTAAAAATTCATAACTTCTTCATCCGACGTCCGTTTTCGTCTGTCTTTTTACCGTTGTACTACTATTGACGAGACCTTCGATTATCGTTTAGGTTGTGTCGGCTAAATATCGCTCGATCTTTATTTCGAGTTTTTAGCTGTCGACTACTATTCTGAAACTTAGAAAAATCATAACTTCCTCATACGAAGTCAGATTTGGACGTTCATTTTATGAAAATTCTCGGTTTAACAAATACTACGACTTTCAATTAGATCACCAAGGCTAAAAAGTAGTTTATCAAAAACTCACTTTTTACGTCATTCGGTGTCGTGCCGGTTTTGTCGCAGATCTTCGATTGGTCATAACTTCTTCGTTATAACTCGGATTTTGATGAGGTTTTCGCCTAAATGCTACTAATGAAATTATCTACAACTTTGAATAATAAAATTTTACTTATTTCAAATTTTATATTTTCATTAAATTTTGATATTTTAACTTTTAATTGGAATCTCATAAGACTTCCAATATTTTCCAAGTGATTCTAAACATAGTTTTACTTCATTTCTAGTAAAAACTATCTGTTAGAACTCAATACTCAATATCACATAATATTTCATAATATTATTTACTTAAAACACGATTTCAAAACATGTATTTTACATTGATCGTACCGAAGATCACAGGAGTCTGGTCCAAAATATTGTGCGTGACCTCAGATAAGATGAACTCTCTCATCTGCTCATCGAGCTGCCCGGCTCCTGAGCCCGAGCCTGATCCCTCACTAGCACCTGAACTGCCAACTGGTCTAGTGTGTAGCGTCACCATACTGAAAATACACCATAATAAACGTCAGAATACTCATCATAACTCGAGGGATCACACACACTACAAGTTCCCTGGGTTCATCTCAGCCCTCCTTGATTCGAGTACGGATCCTATGCTTTCAGTAGTACAGGCCCATACTACCTTCCACATCTATCCGTACTTTCCTCAAGAATCTCTTTGACTCCACCAAGTCCCTTATACTACTGCTCTTCATGATAATCTCATCCTAGGCTTGCACTAGAGTAATCTCCAACCCACTCTCCGCCATCAGCTGCATAAGAAGTCCCTGCTATCTCTCCCTAACTAGCTCGCGAATACCATTACATATCACTAAGACTAGATAATTCTTCGAATGAGAGGTCCTACCCTACAATGGTACAGTTCAATAAGCTCATACATCAGGCATACAAGGCATCATTCCTAGATCCTTAGCCCTAATCTAGCATGCAGTTCTCATACACATATAACATACATACTAGGCATCCTTCCTAGATCATTAGCCCTAATCTAGCATGCAGTTCTCATAATCATATCATAGCATAACAAACATGTATGGGTAATTTGGGAGAACTTACTTGAGCTCGGATGATGAATTCACCACACCCTTTTTCTCTTTTCAAAATCCTTTTATAAAAATGATTTTTCTTTTCTTTTGAAAATTTTCATACCAAGTCCTCAGTTTGAGTCCAGACACACCTGAAAGTATGTCCGAATCCCTCAAACCAAGGCTTTGATACCAACTTGTAACATCCCAAAAATCATGACCAAAAATTTCATTTTTATTTATTAAAGAACCATAATTATCAAAATCATTGCATCCAAAAACATAAGTCGTAGTACCAAATCAAAGTATCATATCAAAACTCATATCCAAATATCAGAGTAAAAACATCCCAGGCTAAACAAATGGTGTGTGCACTACAGTCATCCCGAGCTCTTCCCTTTGCTACCGGAAGTACCTGAAACCAAAACTGAAAACTATAATCACGAAGCTTAGTGAGTCTCCCCAAACTACCACATACCATACACATAATCATGCTACTAAGAGATACGGGCCCCGCCCACACTCGACTAACTAGGAGATACGGGCCCCGCCCACACTCTGCTGACTATGAGATACGGGCCCCGCCCACACTCAGCTAACTATGAGATACTGGCCCCGCCGACACTCGGCTAACTACGAGATACGGGCCTCACCCACACTCGGCTAACTATTACGGGCCCCGCCCACACTCAGCTACTAAACATACATACAAGTATCACACAGACAACAAGTATAGCCAAATCTATCAATCAGTCCTATATACATACTCAAATAATGCTATGAGGTACGGGCCTCGCCCACGCTCAGCTATCTATGAGATACAGGTCTCGCCCACACTCAACTACTAATCAATACAAATAACATATACGGGCCTGCCTTGGTGCCTTCGACCCATTCAAACCAGGAGGAAACTCACCTCGCTGTCGGATGATAGCTGAAACGTCTCTGCTTGGAATCAGCTCTACTCACTCCCTGAACCAAAACAACTCCTTAGATACCATTCCATACTCATAACCCTTAAGGGTCAACTTTGGTCAAGTCAAAGTCAAAGTCAACGCTCCGAGTTGACTCAACTCGTCGAGTTTACCCTTCAACTCGTCGAGTTCTCATGAATCACAGAATCGTGAAATTGTGATCTAACTCGTCGAGTTTTCCTCCAACTCGCCGAGTTCCTCCTTCTCAACAGAACGGAACTTTCCTAGTTCAACTCGTCGAGTTCCCTTGTGGACTCGCCGAGTTCCATTAACAGAATCGGGAATACTCGACCCAACTCGTCGAGTTCCTCGCATTTCTAGTCTATTCAGCCCTTTACTCAGATCTAAGGTTCCAGAATATAGATCTGCATTATTTCCATGGCATATTTATGTAAAGTTGACAACTTGATGGCTTTGCATGCCTCAAATGAACCCAATCTCGAGATATAGCAATCTACTTCTATGGACATGGTCTTTTCTTGGACAAGAACGAGTTTAAGACCCTTTTTTATGAATCTAAGGACCAAATAGCACTGGGAATGGAAGTTCTTATCATCAGGACTAAGAGGGTTATCATGTTTCCAACCATGGGGTCAAAAGACCCAATAAACAAGACTAAGAGAGATCTAAGCTATGAATCATCAAGTTAGGGACTTTTTACCTCAGAAAGTTGCCAAAGATGAACGAGATCCCAGATCTAGTGCTTCCCTTCAAGCTCAATGACCTTCTAGTTCTTCCAAGTCCTTCACCAAGCACAAAATCACACAAAAATCCACTCAACACCTAAAGTTTCTCACCAAGGAGATCAAAATACGATTTAGGGTTTCAGGGAGGCTGATGAGGGCTGGTGGGGAAAGATTAAGTCCTTTAAATAGGGTGCAAAACCCTGGAAATTAGGGTTTCATCCCAGTCGGTCTACTCGTCGAGTTGAGGTCTCTCAACTCGTCGAGTAGGTTACTTAAATCACGCGGTCCTGATCATCCCTACTCGACGAGTTTGGGGCTTCCAACTCGTCGAGTTGCTTTGTAAACATGAATAAATTATAACTTAAATGCACACCAGGAATCAGGCGTTACACGAGGCAGTAGAAAAGGTCGACTAAGGAGCTCTGGTTTAGTGTCGACAGTTGTATTAAAGAAAGGAAAAATATCGAGCATAATAAAGACACCTTCGATGACTATTAGAGAATGTCGTTCTAGATGGAGGGCGGTGGCCCACTTTAATAGTCTAAGGCTACTCCTATTGATGACCAATTGTTTTAGTTGGTTGGGCTGAAAATTAAAATGACAAAGAAAAAGAAAAAGCTTAAAACTCACCAACCATGAGTCGCCATTTTAATTTTTTTGCAACGTACCAATATTGATATATTTTAAGAAGTTTTTTTTAATAATTTTTTTATATTGTCTGTATAATCTTAAAAATAAAAAAAAATTAGGTTATAAATTGAATAAAACATGTAGCTTGTATAATATAATAAAAATTAATTATAACTAATATAATAGTTTGGTTTGAGTTAGTTTGCTAATGGGTGTGAAAAGTTGGGATATTTTGATTTTTGAGGATGAGCTCATTAACGTCATTAACCTCGACAGACAAGAAACTAAACGAGTCATTATCCCACTTCTTCCTTCCATCTTTTAAGATGAAAAAAAAACTATACAGTAATTTTTATCTTATTGACACTTATCTCAATTCCAAGAGGATCACCTACTAGGAAGAACGAAAGTTAAGTAAACTCGTACAAAAAAAAAGTAACACATAAAGTGAACTTATATCACAAACAAACAAACAAACATCCGATCCTAACCATTGCTGCTCACCTTATTAAGAGTCGTATAAATTAAACAAAAAACAAAAAAAAAACAATGCAAAACAAAATTGTCCTCTACCATAATTAAATTAAAAAAAAAAAAACGAACCAAATCTCTCTGAAGAAGAAAAAAAAAACATAAACTTTCTATCTCTTGGCAGCAATCGTCTCTCCATATTCAAACATTTTCAGTACCTTTTTTTTTCTGTTGGTTTTCAACGTTTCCCAGCAGCAGCTTTCTTAGCACCAGGCAGAGGATTCTCATCATCATCAGACTCAATATCACCATACTCCCACATCCCCAACCTCTTTGTACGCGCTTCAGTCTGATACTTTTCCAGCTCATCAAGCGCCACCTGGCGCTCTTTCGGCTCCCACCTCCTCCTTTTCTCCAACCTCGCAAGTCCTCCCTAAAAAAATGCTTCCAAAATTAATCCAAAACAAAAAAAAAAAAAAAAAAAAAATACGGTTTTAATATCTTATAAACGAAAAATACGAACATTGAGCATCGAGGCATTGATACTGATGTCAGATTCCGAATCGATCAAAGTCACCAACAGCACACTTCCAGTTCCTTGACCTTTGACTTTTCCACCAGAAGTATCTCGTTCTTCAATAATCGCCCTGAACTCCTTGGGCCCACTAAGTGTGCTTTCACTTAAATGCATCGCTGCTTCCTGACCATAATCGTCTTCCAAAGTCGGCACCTTTAAGTACGCCAGCTGGCAAAGCTGGGCCACCCCAGGTGCAGACGAAACCGATGCATCAAGTGGACGTAACTGATTGTAAGTAACAACTTCTTGGTTCCCGTAGTCGATGTAAAACACTTCAAATTTGTCTTTTGTCGATTGCACCACGCCACGTGGACCACTCACAACCTGACACGTCATCACCAAAAACACAATTTACTATTCACTGAATTAACTATTGGAAGAAAAAAAACAAGGATATAGAAGTATAAAACACGATTCTTACCATGGCGCGATTCCATGAGTTATCTGCACTGAACTGTGCAAGGACGATATCGCCCTTTTTGGGATTGAATGCGCCAAGTACAGGGGCTTCTTTGAGGTTTAAGGAAGCGAGTTGTTGTTGGATAGAGGCGACTTTTGAATCTGAAACAGCTTGGACATAGAATTGGCCTCCACTAAGGACTTCGGTCACAACAACCTTAATCTCTTCTTTTTGTTTTTTGTCTTGAGTTGCACCATTGGTGACTTCTTCACCTTCCACGTAGTTTTCCCATATCTGAAACAAAATTATAAAATCAGAGTTTTTAAATTTTTGATTTTATTGTATTAAGCGAAAATTTGATATATTATTAACCTTTAGTTTCTTATTCTTGGCAGACTGTTCGGCTTGAGCAAGAAGATGAGCATCTGGAATCCTATCAGCACCGAATGTCTGAAGTCTTGCGAGTCCGGCTTCTAGAAGATGAATGGCGACATTCGTTTTTGATTCCCATAATGACCCCAAGAAGGTTCCGGTCCTATCAACTGTTTCCACTTCAATCTGAAATAATAATAAAAATAGTATTAACAAATGAAGTGATGGTAACAATTATTAATAATGGATGAGCAACAGATATGGGTGAGTGAAATTACCTCAACGTCCCTCTGCATGATCTTGCGTCTCATGAGTGCAATAGCTTCGTTAGAATAAGGCTCGTCACGCCCGGGACATCGGACACCGGAAAGGGAGAAAGCGATGCTGCATGTTTCTTTGGGGACAAACAGTTTGAATCTGTGTCCACTGAGTACATATTCAACGACAGCTGTCATTCTCCTGTTACGTTGCAAAAACGGGAGGAAATCTTTGGCTTTCTTGGCAGATGCCTGAAAAAAAAAAGATTACAATAAAAGTCAAAACATTGCATAAAAGTCAAACATGAATAAGTAGAGTCAAGATTTTGATTTTATTTACTAACCGTTAAGAGATCTGTGACATGCATGACTGGAGGATCTTTAGCGGAATGAATTCCTTTCTTTCCGGATGTAGCACGGGTTTCAGCTGCTAAAAGATTCTCATAGTAATTTGATCTTTCCTCAAAGTCTCTATGTCTAATCACAGTGCCAAATCCACGTGCAATAATCAGCTCAGCAACGTTAACACCCGGTTGCTGGGTTGCTGCTGGAGTAGTAGTAGCAGGAGTAGGAGTAGCAGAGGAGACATCTTCAGTTTCTTTCCCTGGAGTCAACAGAAACACTGACCCAAATCCCATTACCCTTGAATCTGCGGGCCCAGCTGGGGCAGCAGATCCATCAGCAACTGGGACCTTCCGCGAATATTCCATTGAAACTTGAACCTAAAAAAGTTTGAAGTAATCATCAAAATGAACCTTCAACTTTTCTATTTCAAATTAGGGTTAATGTCAAGAATTGTTAACCCTAATTTGAAATTGTTTAAAAAAGGTTAAAATCTAATAATGTTACCTGACGACCCATTAATCTTGTTCTGAGAAACTCCCTTGCTTCACGGGCATAAGGAGCAGGTTTCTCCTCTCTTCTTGGGTTTCCCAATTTGGGACATCTGATACTTGACAGATTCACTCTTCTTTCAGCAGCTGGACTACCGAATGGTAGTGAATCATCAGCAACAACAATGCAGTCCCCACTGACAACTTCAACTACCTGTAAAAAGTTTTAATTTAGTAAACTTTATTAAAAAATGGAAGAAATGAGATTAGTTTAAAGACAAACCTTTCCAGTGAAGTTATCCGATATAGCCTTTGAATTGGTAGCTGGGGGAACATAGTTTGTCCAAAGCCTCAACTTAGTCTTCTTTGCTAGAAGTTCTGCAGCTTTTAACTTCCTCCTGGCTTCATCTTCCATCATACTCGCACTCCACTCAACATATTTTGCATATCCCTAATTGAAAAAAAAAAAAAAAGATATGTTATAAAGAAAGTTGTAAGAAAGTAGGTTGTCATTTTAAAACATAACATACGTTTTCAATAAGCTCCATTGCCAGATCCTTTGCTGATTCTCCATCAGAGTAATATACAGAACCAATCAGATTGCTAAACTTGTCAACACCCTCAAGAACAATCCGGACCTGTTCAATAATAAACATAGAAATAATCAAACCCAATGTCTTTTATGTCAACTTAATAAGGGGAAATTGCAAGATATTACTCACATCTCTGTTTAGAACACGGATCTCAGTAAAATGTTTAGCTTCCCTCCCATAAGGATCAGGGGAAACTTCATTGAAGCCTGATGAGGCTGAGATTCTTTGGGCTGATGTTAAGGGCCCACGTGACTCTGAATTATTATTTTCTCCATTTGTCTCTTCGGATGGGACCTCAATTGGTATTGTAGGTTCTTGTGTTGTCCTTCTTCCCATTGATGGTGCCTAGTAAACAATTAGATAAATTAGAATTAAATATATCATTCCATTCCTTGAAGGAATGGGATAACACACACAGATACTGTGAGAAGGAACCACATTCTGTGAGGAATGCACCATTCCAATCCTTTGTGGTATTCAAATGGATGCATGTGGTACCTGGATTCCAGCAACAAATACTTGGACAAACTGAAACTCTGGAAGCAGATAAACACGAAGTGAACTTCCATCACGAACTTGCTCTACAATGGCTTCCATGGGTTTGCCTTTGTGTGAAGCTAAGAGGCCCATGGCATCAAGATTGCTGGGATCACCAACAGCAGATGGAGGAAGGTTCCTGATAGCTGCCTCCACAGCACCCGGAGACTAAAACCCATCAAGAAAATGACACGTCATCAACATGTAACAATGCAACTTATAAACACCATGCATAAGGCAACAGTAATTACTAACTAACCCTATCCCATAAACCAACTCCTTGTTGTCTGGCTTGTTCTTCAAGGCGTAGGAGTTCTGTATGCTCAGGAGTAACCTCTCCTTTTCCCTCTTTAACCTGGAATTAATATTTAGTAAGTGAAGCTATGTTGAATGTGAAGGTGAAAATTCTTATAAATGAATTGGAATTGGAATTACCTTTGCCCAGCCATGAGTGACAACTTCATTTCCAACATTTGAAGTACCGATGAAAACACTGCAGAATTCTCGGGAGAAATTTGGGATGGTGTATTCGGTTCTAAAGACAACATCCTGGTAAACAAATAGATATATATTATATAAACATTGTCATGAGATTTTTAAATTAAAATGAAATATGAATAATGGAAACTCAGAGGGTTTTATGAATCAGAACCTTTCCTATGCACAACTTCCGTAGAAATTCTCTGCTTTCCCATGCAAACGGGTCATCCTGGCCACCTCTACGTGCCTAAATATAAAACAAGAAAATTCTTCCCCATCACTTATCAACAGAATTAGAATTATTACAAGTATAATTCCTAGTACAGGTTCATATAGGTCAGATAGAAATAGAAAAGAAACTGCAGAATATGGTATAATAAAAAAGTATTCACTTAATTTAGAAAACAAACCAATTTATCCACTAGGTTAATAAGTCACTTCGTTATGGCTTTAAATAAGTGGGTGGTAAGTGGTGAGTGGTGAAGAAATAGTACTATTTGTAGTAGTAGAAGATAACTGGCTTATAGCAAAAAGTAGGAATCTTGATAAAATTTGCAGTTTTGGGAGCCAGCAAGAAAATGAAATGGAGACTGGCTACATTCCAAAAAAGTGTTTAAAACCAAATTTTATGATCAAATCAAACCTACTAAATAAATACTCAATGCTTGCTTTTCAGAACAATTTCACAAAAAAGCTGAACAACGCCTCTAAAAACAAATTCTGTCACCATTCAAAAAGGACATAATGTAGGAATAAACACAATTAGGTAAACATACTAATCTTGGAGCCGATAGATGAGCTAAAACGATAGTCTTCTCAGGGGGGATTTCAGCTTTGGTGAATCCCATAATCACCAAGGTGTCGCCAGACATAACAGCTTTGACTTTTCCTCTCAGCCATCCTGAATTTCCAGCTGGTTGCGCCATCCCTTAAGATCTGAAAAAATAAAACACATCAATCATTCACATTGAATGCAGGTTAATAAACCCTAACATCTCAGAACACATGGCACATAATTTGCTCAGTGTTACATTACATATAGCAATGTCTACATGTAGTCACGTAGAAAAAACCAACATTTCCTTATTGTTCATAACTTCACAAGAAAACACAGGATCAACATAAACCCACTAATATCCAATCCATCATTCAAAAGAACTAATCGAAACCTAATTAAGTAATCGTGAATAGATGATACGCTCATTAAATTACATCAATTTAGATTCCAATCTTCAGATCCATATGCAATAATATAATAAAAATCAACATTTTCAAAACAAATCCAAGTAAAACCACATAACAATCACGGATACACACATGGACACTCCAAACACATCATATAACTCAAATCATTATCCAAGATCGACAATTCATCAAACAAAAATCAATCCAACGACTCCGATCTGTCAAATAAAAGAACTAAAATTTACAGTATTAACGTAACATCCTGCATGTAAACGCGCAGATTCGTAGAAACAGCGTTACTTATTAGATCGGTAGACTACAATACCTGAAGTCTAACTGTTCTGGATCGATCAAGGAAAACACACACAGAAATCGAACAAACTCAAAATCAACCAATCTGAAATGAAACTTCGAGTGTAGAATTATCAAAATCCACACATAATTAAACCCGAATTCGAACGAAAACAACGGTGATTCAAAATTGAGACCAGAAGGAAGTAGTTCGGCCGGCGGAGGAAAATTTGTGACACTATACAAAGAGGCTGTATTTATATAGCAGGGGTCGAAAATCGATATCAGAAGCAATTAAATGTACCCCTCCATTTTGAAGTAAATTACTAAAAATGCCATAAGGTTTCCGCTAACAGCTTTGACTACCCTTGGTGTTGGACTACCAGATATGCATCTACTATCTATGACGACATTTTACTTCCACGTCGGATCTTTCAACCAATCAGAATGCATCACATATGCTGACTCATCGAATTAAATCGTGTCTACCTAAAATAGTAAAAGCAGGGTTACATATTTTACCCTGAACTTTTTTACCATATTTATGTACTCAGATGATGTTGGATTTGTGTCTGAAATTGTATTAATTAGGTTTGAGTGTGACAAAAAAATAATATTTATTATAAGTTTTAATTATTTATAATTGAAATTAGATTATTGTGATGGGTAAAAAAGTTTTCTCCAAACTTTATTTTTACAAAAAATATTATTTTAATTATTTTTATAAAAGTTATATAATTAATAACAGTATTTTAATTTTCTGAATAGAAAGATTTAGAATGTCTAGAAAACATCATTAATGAGTTTATTTTAATTTGGCAACACATAACTAAAAATATCTTCTAAAAAAATTGATTTTTTTTTATTGTGATTAGCTTAAGGCACTCGTGTAAAAGATCAATCATTACAAAATATCATTTTGTCTCCTTTTATACCCATTGTCACCCGCTTCCTCACAAACGTAAAAGGAATATATACATTAAAGTTTTAATATTTTCATCGATTTGACAAAAAAGTCCTAAATTTTATATATTTTTGACAGTAAAGTCCAAATTACCGGTAATTTTTGACACTTTTACCTTTTTTTCCCGGTTAGCCGGTAATTAGGAGTTTTTTGTCAAAAAAATAAAGTTTAGGACTTTCTTGTTAAATCGTCAATTAGGACTTTACTGTCAAAAAAATAAAGTTTAAGACTTTCTTGTCAAATCGTTGAAAATATTTGGACTTTAGTGTATATATCATTTTTTTTTTGTTAGAAATTTAATGGTATGATACTCTTTAAGCGTAAGAGTTATTGAAACATTTTCTAGTTAGCTAGATCCTATTGAAATCTTTAACGTTTGCTTCTTATTAAATAGTTTTTTTATTCTCAACAAACCGACATTGAAAAAAATGGAGATAATCAAGAAAGAAAGAAAGAATCAGGGTTGTGTTAGCTTTTTGTAGTCCCAAAAATGGAGAAATAAGAAACCGAAAAAAAACGAAATTGCCCTTCTTTCCCTTCTCAACATTTACACCCTTTTGACTAGACATGTATTGTTTGTGTTTGTATAATTTGTTCCCACTTTTTAGTTCAAGATTTGGCGGCGAAGCAAGAAGAAACTTTTACAATGGTGATATATACACTAAAGTCCTAATATTTTCAACGATTTGACAAGAAAAACCTAAAGTTTATTTTTTTGGCAGTAAAGTCTTAATTGACGATTTGACAAGAATGTCCTAAACTTTATTTTTTTGACAAAAAAGTCCTAATAACCGGCTAACCGGGAAAAAAGGGTAAAAGTGTCAAAAATTGCCAGTAATTTAGACTTTACTGTCAAAAAAAATAAAGTTTAGGACTTTCTTGTCAAATCGATGAAAATATTAGGACTTTAGTGTATATATCCCAATGTACAAAAAACAAAAGTAGTAACAATCAATTTATATCAAACATATACTATATACATTACATCTTCTCTTATTTTTCAGTTATGACAATATTACCAATTTACCAAGCATGAATTTATTGGAAAACACTTCAAAGTAAGTAATTTTAAGAATCTAATTCATGTCTACAAAGATAAGAGTTCGTAAGAAAACAAAGGGTTTCCATAAATCATATCCCTCCAAGACTCCAATGTCAAAAGGTAAATGTCATTTTTACGCATACACGTCTTTGGCGTGTGAATTGTTCATTCTAGTGACTTGAAACTTCAATGTCTCTTTCCATTCTATAATTAGATTTCTTGCAACCATGATGGAAATGATGGAAAGACCTTATCTAGTAAAAGGGCATAATCATTTATCTTATTGAAGCAAAATTAGATAATGAGGTATCCAAATTTGTCAAGTTTGTTATACAAAAGCTTGTCTAAGTTAAAGAAAGTGAGCATATGGTGTTCTTATATGCATGCACACATGTTAGGTGATATGTGATGGAATTATATATATTTTAAGATGCATATTTAATATTTTTTTTATATTATTATAGATATTTGATACTTAAAAGATATAAATTTTTATTTTGCATATTATAATGACTAAAAGATAAAATATAAGATATTTAGAGCATATTCTGGAAGAAATTCGTAGCTTGAAAATTAAGCAAGATTCAAATTAAAGATATCTCCAAAATTGCAGAAGATTTCGAAGATTTCTGAAGATTTAGTAAATTAAATCTTCTATAATTGTAGCAGTTGAAGTCCTAAAGCTATAAGAAAAGTCTTTTCATTACACATTTCGAATTAATTTGGTTTGTAATATGTTTAATTTTTCATATTATTCAGTTATCTAGTTTAGATTATAGGGTAAGTTCATATACTTTCGTTTATATGTAGATGATCCAAGATTGATTATGTTTTAATTCATTGAAAGGAGTTTAATGTGACATCTTCAATTTCACCGCCATAAAAAACTTGTAACATCCCAAACTTTATGACCAAAAATTTCGTTTTAAATTATTAATAAAATCATAGTTATCAAAATCTTCTCATCAAAAGGTAAATCATAGTATCTCAAACATCATGTCAAAAACACATGTCAATATATATTAGAGTAACATCCCAGGCTAAAACATCGTGGTGTGTGCAATGCAGTCATCCCGAGCTCTTCCCCTTGCTACCGGAAGTACCTGAAACCAAAACTGAAAACTGTAAGCATGAAGCTTAGTGAGTCTCCCCAAACTACCACATCATATACACATAATCACATAATAACATATCATGGGCCCCGCCCGGCATCGGACCCCGCCCGGCATCAAACCGAAATCCGGCATCGGTTCCCGCCCCGGCATCAAGCAAAGCTCGGTATACATATAAACATATCAACAAATACACATATATAATCACATAACATAAACATATAAACATTCCTCGGGCCTCGCCCAGCATCGGATCGAAATCCGGAAGCATATAAACATTCATCGGGCTTGCCCGACATCGGACCGAAGTCTGGAACATACAAAACAGACACATGCAAGAATCACGAAGACATCAAGCATACAAACATTCATCGGGCACTACCCGGCATCAGATCGGAATCTGGAAACATATAAACCTACATCAGGCACTGCCCGGCATCGGACCTTGGTCCGGAACATACTAGCATACATATACGGGTCAGCATTGGTGCCTTCGACCCGTTCATACAAGAGGAAACTCACCTCTCAAAGCTGAATGCAGAATCTCTCGCTACAAAATCTCTATCGGCTGCTCTGACGACTCCCCGAGCTATCAGTGTAAAATAACACTTAGTCAAAATCCAATAATCCTTCTTAGGGTAAAATGACCATTTTACCCCTGATCTAATTCGGACCATAACCTAGGCCTAAATCCATAACATCAATGGTCCAATTTTATAAAACCTTTCCAAGCCCACTAATGGCCCACTTATGGCCCAATTTTCTAAATTGGGCCCAACTCCCTAAATGGGCATTCCCTTAAGCCCAAACATGTCCTTAGCCCAATAACTGACTTCTGATGGCCCACTAAGGCCCAATAGCCGATAAGTCTAAAGAGTAACCCAAACTAAGGCCCAAAAGACGTGAAGCCTAAAGTCAGCGAGTATGTGGGGTGTACTCCTCTGTACGCTGAGCGTACAGGCTGCATGGCTTGTACGTTGCGCGTACTGGCTTGTACGCCTAACGTACTACCCTGTTAAGCCATATTCTTCAAAAATGCTTAATCCCTTAAGACCTTAAGGTTAAAACACAGATTTGAGTCCATTAACATGTCTTAACTCATAAAGTCGATTACTCGGTGGATTGCAACCCACCAAATGGACCCAAACTTGAAATATGACAACTATTTTCCATGTAAATAACTAGAACTCATGCATGGTCACAAAAGGACCTTCAAGATTTAAACTTTTCTGCTCTTGGGACTCATATAGCACTAAGGGTGGCAACCCTAAGCCTAGAACGGATTGGAACCATAAAAATCCGTTCTTGGGACCTAGAAAGGTCCAAAACACCATTAACGTAGATCTAAGCATTCATGAGGCAAGTTGAGAGCTTTTTACCTCAAATGAATGCCAAATGGTGATGTTATCTTAGATCCTTGAGCTCAAGCTACTCAAGTTCTTCTTCTTCAACTTCTCCCTTCTCCTTCCAAGCTTCAAATCACCAAAATAAGCTTCACAAGGCCAAATACACATAAAGATGAAGGATGAAAGGTTTCTAGGGTTTTTGAGTCGAGGTGGCTAGTAAGGAGGCTAGGGTTTGGGATATAATGTTGTATTTATACGGCTTAAACCCTAAAAATAAAGGTTTTGAGTCTACTTGTGTACGTTGCGCGTACACCTTGGTTTGCTGCGCGTATGCACCTCCGCCCCCCGCATCCAATGTTGCACTACGCCCCGCGTACACCAAGCTTATGCCCAACGTACGTCTTCGGGCAGCCCAATCATAACGACCCACTCGCTAAGGCCCAACTCAATAATCCACTACTTATCCCATAGCCCAATAATTAATTACAAAGATATTAATTAATTAAAGGATATTAAATAATTATTATTACCTCAAGTCACGAATGTTACAAAACCGATTTATTTATGTTTATTAAATATCAGAGTATCCCTTTTTAAAGAATAATATTGCGGAATTTGTTCTAGAAACATGATGATAATATTATCAAAGCATTTCTAAAGAAATGTATTTTATTTATATTTAAAAACCTGGGATGTTATCGTCAATATAGTACATAAGAATAAACGGAAATAATATAGGCCTTAGAAACATCTATTATTTTACTGGCCTATAATCCATAAATCTCTCATATGATCATCACATTTGTGCTCTCGTACCATTATCTGTAATACAAGAAATTGAGTGGGTC